TCCCGAGTGCTACACCCCTCGAGCACTACAGTTCCCGAGTGCTATACATCCCGAGTGCTACACCCCTCAAGCACTATAGTTCCCGAGTACTACACCTCCCAAGCACGACACGTCTCGAGTGCTACACATCTCGAGTGCTATACCTCCCGAGTGCTACACCCCTCGAGCACTACAGTTCCCGAGTACTACGCCTCCCGAGTGCTACACCCCTCGAGCACTACAGTTCCCGAGTGCTATACATCCCGAGTGCTACACCTCTCGAGCACTACAGTTCCCGAGTACTACACGTCCCGAGTACTACACATCTCGAGCACTACACGCCTCCAGTGCTATCAATAGCCTCCGTGGAGTGCTACGCCTAACGCTTTGGTAGCACTGTCGATAGCCTCCGTGGAGTGCTATGCCTAATGCTTTGGTAGTACTATTTATAGCATCTATGAGTGCTACGCCAACTGCCTTGCTAGTACTATCTATAGCATCTATGGAGTGCTGCGCCAACTGCCTCAGTAGTACTCTATAACATCTATGGAGTGCCATGCCTAATGCCTTGAGAGTATTACTCGTAAGATCTAAACCGAGGACCCATCAAGGCAATTATCTCCCTAGCACGATGCCTCTTACCTCTCCAGCACTATCTACATCTCTTAATTAATTATTGAATAATCATAAGGGCTGCGTACGAGACCCACCGCATACACAGACCTCAGACGCAAAGTCGCGTACGAGAATTGCCGCGTGCGCAGAACCGCATACGAGAACTACCGCAAACGTGGGACGGTTGGATGACTTACACTGAACTGGGTCTAGGGTAGGTCAGGATTGTAACCAATCAGGGGTGTTCTGAGTGGTGCGCTCAGGTTGTCTTGATGCTGTGCGAGTCATTGCTGATATGCGAGCACTGAGGAGCTAGTTTCAATGAAAGCGGTAGCAATTATATTGGCAACTGGCTAAAGGAGTGTTCTAGCTACTGAAACGAATGTGTATATATGTACTGGGGGTTTCACCGGGAATTCACTATGTCTTCATTCAGACGACAAAGTGAAGTCAGTCTTTATTGGTTGCCAAGGTGGGTCCAATAATCCACCTTTGCACGTGACATTCTACGGCCCGACAGAGACCTTTATTTGTAACAAAACGCAGAGTCGCGTACTACCGTAAAGCCAACCAATATCTCGCCGGCAGTGTAAATATTATATCACATGAACGCTCCTTCCACTCCTGCGAGATCATGCAAGAAACCCGGCTCCAGTTGGCTCTCAACACTACGAGGACGAGATACCGCCTTAACCTTCCCGCTCGTATCTTGAATCCGCCGTCGCTTGTTAGGTTGCAGAGCGGCCAGCTGGCGTCGGGGTGGCGAGAGAAGCCGCGAGCGCTCGAAATCAATGGTCATTACCTCTCGAGTTTCTGGGTTGAACAATATATTTTCCCGGCGCGCATCCCTGTGTACCACCCCTTCTTGATGGATGGCTTTCATGGACCGTATTGCCCTTCCCATTACAAAAGCCACATCAAGATCTTTTGCATCAATATCTCTCAAACCGACACCTCCCCAAGACAAAAATGACAGGTGAACCACGTCAACGCGGAGATCATAGTAGTACGTCCTACCGAGGGGACGAAGGTCGATAGCACCGAGGAAGACGGGTACATGGGTCCCTTGTACTTTCTCAAGTCGCCTGTAGACGAGTTCTTCGTGCTTCAAATCTGAGATGAAAGCCTTCACCGTACCTTTGCCAATGAAAGTGTACCCATACGCAAGCAAAGAAACCTTGAAGAGAGCCCCGCGAGAACCAGTAATGTCCAACGATTTGATCCCAGAGTCAAGAGTTCGTTTCAGCTGCGTAGAAAGAAGCTTGAGGAAGTTGGCGTGTGTAATGGGATGGCGTTTGGGGCAATTCGTCTTGCAATTCCGAGTTCTATGAAGGGTAAAATTTGGGCATTTGGCGTCAAGTATATAACCTCTCACCAGGCCCAGCAGACACCTCTGTGTACAGAACTGGAGAGCTTGGTCACTGCCTTTATTGCTGTTCGTGCTGTCGCCTTGACTGCTTTCCCCAGCAGCCCGTCCGGCAACCCGCTTGCTCCGCCGAGTTCCCTGGGTCTGCCCTGGTTGTTGCCGCTCTGCTGGACTAGCACTAGGCGGGCGATTTAAATCCCCATCGTCATCAGGTTCATCATCCCTTCCCCGTCTCACAGGAAGCGTTCTTCCAGCTTCAGTAGTTTTCTTTGGCTTGCGCTTCCGGGGTTTCACTGAGCGATCGACAGTACTGTAAGTTGTGGGAGTAAAGGCAGGTGATCCCGGCGACGCCTCCTGCTGATCCTTGGAAATTGTGCTCGCTGTGCGCCGGAAGTCCACCTTCCACTGCCTTAGCCCACCAATAACTTGCTGGCGCCTGTCTTGGTCGATGTGCGCGTGATCCCCAAGTGCCTGGAGATGGAAGGCCAGGTACTGGGAAATAGCCGTACATGAACGGAACTGTCCATGCGCTTCCACCTCCGGACCAGGCTCTGCTAGGTGGTAGTAAAGAACCTCAGGAGCTCTCCAATCAATCTTGAGAAATACAATAGCCTCGCCGGTCGTCAAGAGGCTATAAGCTAGACCACCCTTGATCATGTAGTGGTAGGTCTGCGTGATGGCGGCAGCGGTCAGCTCCTCGGCATAATGTTGGAACTTGGCTTCCGCCTCTGTTGGGATCTTATTCTTGCAAACAACGTCTTGGAAGATGTGCATGTCGTGCAGGCCTTTCCGGAGCTGTGGGAGGGTGAGCTTGTGAGGTGGCTTGTACTCAGCGATTGCAATGACAGACCGCTTTCCCAAGCCATTCCCCTCGTAGCGATAGATGCAGATTTGGTCGGCATTCAGCTTCGCAGGGTCGCGGATGAGATCTGGTGTCCTTGGGCGCTGTGACTCTGGCCCTGGCTCCTCTGATTCCTGCTGCAGCGGTGGGAGTGGCTGTCGGCGTTCTCGTTCGACGACTTCATAGGCCGTATCACTGATCGCTTTGAGATGGTTCTCAAACTTGATACCAGATCCAATATTCAACTGCCGTTGAAAGTCCTCAGATTTACTGAGCTCATGTATGATACACCTAACCTGCTCCTCTACACAATTATGTAGAAAATTCTCTAGCATTTTCTCGTCTGCGATAGGAGCTGCCGACACTTTATTGCCAAGCGTCGCCAGGTAGGCTCGATTATCAAAGAGTCGTTCCTCTACCGGAAAGAAGGAGTAGATGAGGGTCAGCATCTGGCCCTGCTCATCGAAAAAGCTAGTCCACTGCTTGAGGTGCTCCGGAACAAACTTATTGTAGGCACGGATGCTGCCGGTAGTGGTCCTGGACGGGTCGCTTTCAACCGTAAGGCGTGTGTAGACGAGATTGTGGCAGGCTTCCAGATATTCATCTAGGGTTGTCGGTCGGGTCTGTTCCCTCTCCTGATCCCGTTCGGTTTCTGCTCGATTGGCTCGCTCCTCCTCCTGATCCCGTTCGATCGCTGCTTGGTCCCGTTCGATCGCTGCTTGGTCCCGTTCGATCGCTGCTTGGTCCCGTTCGATCGCTGCTTGGTCCCTTTCGGTTTCTGCTCGATTGGCCCGCTCTGCCTCTCGTGCAGCTCTCTCCTCTGCCTCTCGTAGACGCTGCAGCAGCTTTTCCGTGTCCGTAGGAGCACTCATGGCATCGTCCAAGAGTGTGGAAATCGAATACTGGTCGGTGCTAGAGAAGGAAAGTTAATTTACTATCCTTGGGGGCTCAACTTCAAGAGTCAAGGGGCAACGAAGTACTTACTGATAGTGGTAGAGTCGCGTTGCATGGGTTGACGCGTCGTGACTCCGCCGCGAGAGTCGCTGATACAAACGGGGAACCTGGCGAATGGCCTAGGCAACCGAAGAGGCTACGTGCGCTCAAAAAAGGCATAGCGCGCTCCGAGTGTGACTCAGTCATTAAGCAGTGAGCAGCCGAGGTTCAACACGACGAGCCAGGGCCAATTTTCGTCCAAGCCTTATCTATTCTGCCATGACTCACCGCTTGTCAATCAGCAGCCGAAGCCAAGGGGGTTGTTGATCCGATTTATCCACTCTCTGGTGTCACTGCGACGCACTAGTCCGTTTTAAAGCTGGAAGTTCAAGGCAGTTCCATTCTAGCGCGCTCCCACATCTAGACCAAGAACTCAAGCGTTCTCGGTCCGACTACTAATCCGGCTACTCGTGGCAGACCAATCACATCTGATCCATCCATTTAGATGAATGAAAAAGACTGCCACATAATTGGTCAGGTTAGATGCTCGTTGTCTGAAAACGGCGCTTTGCCAAATGACGCTTTGCCAACTGACGCTTTGCCAACTGACGCTTTGCCAAATGACAATTTGCGAGACGACGTATTGGCTTTCCCGCCCTGCATCCTTCGGCGTACACCCTATCTGCGGCTACTTTCTCAGTGTCGCCACCAACAGAATAGAAAAATGCTTTGCCTCTTTTTTTTTTTCAATATAATATTTATCGCTCATCTACACCTACACCGCCCAAAGTCGTGGACTGGCTGACTCTGCTAACCTAGACTTATAATATTATTGACTTCCATATGAAGCAAGGAGAGACGGTGATGCAGCCCGACTAACCCATAGTACTCTCTAGGCCCTCTCTATCATTTTCTCTCTCGGGTCTTTGAAGATCGCTAATGTAGATGGAAATGTGGCTGCAGGATGAGCCGACCCAGCCCTAGCGGTTGTTGGTGTGCCAAGTTTAGTATTGCCTAAACATCTAGGCCCTCTCAAATTTAATGCTGGATTTCATCTGGTATATTTGTCAGGGTGAAACACAATTCGAATTTCTGCACCTCAAAGCGCGACCTGATCGTGCTTGAGCTAGGCGGCGTCGGGAGGGGGATGAGAAGAGCCACAATGGACAGAGGCCTACATGAAGCCGGTTACGATGGCTCCCGCTGGCCTATGCGCCGACCAACGTTTCTTCCTCATTTAAACATGGAATCTGATACCCTCATATCTCCTTACGTGTATTGGGTGAATAAATTCGAGTGCCAGTCATATTCTCTCGATGTAAATAGCAAGGGACCTCTACGTGCTAGTTCTCCTCGGCCTCGTTCCCATTTCCAGTCTCATCCTCACTCTCATCACCGTTCCCATCCTCGCTCTCCTCAGCCTCAACCCCCTCATCCTCGCTCACGCTCTCGCGCTCGCATGCCTCTGTGTCACCCTCAACCTCGCCCTCATATGCCTCTGTGTCATTTTCGCCCCCGCTCCCTTGTGCTTCTTCGTCATCCTTGCCCTCGCCCTGCTCAATGGCCAACTCCAGATCGTTGAGGAGTGCTGAGAGGGGCCTTTCGTGCCCCGGTTGGAAATTTACACATATATTGACACGATGATCCTTTCTCTTGGCGACGA